AGCAATACACGTCCTCAACAAATAAGACGGGGTCAGTGGGGGCAGACTGAAATGCTCTGGGTAAGAATACAAGGGGGTCATGGGAAAAAGGACTTAACGGTGGTTGTCTACTACAGACCCCCCAACTAGGGGGAAGAGCTGGACCGGGAATTCTCAGGTCAGCTCACCGAGGCAGTTAAGTCAAGGGATGTGGTTTTCGCAGGTGACCTAAACTACCCGGATATCTGCTGGGAGGAGCAGTCAGCCAGGTCTGACTGCTCACATAGGTTCCTCGGGGGGATACAGGAACTCCACCTAACCCAAGAGGTGCACAGTCCCACCAGGGGAAATACCTTGCTGGACCTGGTCCTGGCCACAGGAAACCACCTAGTGAGGGGACTGTGCGTTCTCGACCACCTGGGTGATAGCAATTATCGCCTACTGGAATTCACTATCCAGCACAGGGTGAAAGCTAAAAAGGAGGTGTACACCCGGCGGAAGGGAGGGGCTATCACCAAGGAGGGTTATACCTCCATTGCTCGAGACTGTAGGTGGTCTGTTAGGAAGGCTAAGGAGGAGACAAAACTAGGACTAGCGACCAGGATCAAAGATAACAAGAAGTCCTTTTTAAATACATAGCGAGTAAAAAGAAGGCACTGGGCAATGTGGGGCCCCTGCAGGACATACTCGGCAATCTGGTGGTTGCACCAGATGAAAAAGCTGACCTCCTTAACAAATTTTTTTGCCTCCATTTTTCTGAGCAGGGACTGGGGCATCTCCACAAATGGGATTTTGGTTGGACTCAGAAGAGGCATCACCAGGCCTAGGGTCAGGGGAAACCTAGTTAGGAAACTTCTGGTGGGGCTGGGCATTTAAATCAGCAGGCCCAGATGATCTCCACCCCAGCATGCTGGGGTCATTGCTAGACCCCTGGCACAGCTTTACAAGCACTTGTGGTGCTCTGGCCAGGTGCCAGAGGATGATAAAAAGGCCAATGTGGTCCCCATTTTCAAAAAAGGAAAGAAGGAGGACTCAGGTAACTATAAACCTGTTAGTGTTACCTGGGTCCCGGGGAAGCTCTTTGAGAAAATTATCATGGAGCACATCTGCGAGGGACCAGCAGGGGAGATTAAGCTCAGAGGCCACCAACATGGGTTCATTAGGGGCAGGTCCTGTCAGACCAACCTGGTTGCCTTTTACATTCAGGTCACAAAACCTTGGACGCAGGTGTTGCGGTGGACGTAGTCTTTCTGGACTTCAGGAAGGCCTTTGACACTGTCTCTCACCCCATTCTCATTAAAAAACTAGGTGACTGTGGCATTGAGGCCTACACAGTCAGATGGGTCGCAAATTGGCTAGAGGGCTGCACCCAGAGAGTGGTGGTGGATGGGTCATTTTCGACTTGGAGGGATGTGGGCAGTAGAGTCCCCCAGGGCTCGGTCCTCGGGCCAGTATTTTTCAACATCTTTATCAGCAACTTGGATAAGGGGCTGAAAAGCACCTTGTTCAAATTTACAGATGTCATGAAGATGTGGGGAGAGGTGGGCATGCTAGAAGGGAGGGACAGGCTACAACTAGATCCGGACGGGTTACAGGGGTGGGTTGATGAGAATAGGGAGGGATTGAATACTGACAAGTGCAGGGTACTGCACCTAGGGAGAAAGAACCAGCAGCATACCTATAGGCTGGGGATCTCCTTTCTCATCAGCACAGAGGCAGAAAGGGATCTTGGAGTCATTATTGATTCCGAGATGAACATGGGCCACTGATGGGAGGACATGGTCAGTAAGGCTAACTACACCTTGTCATGCATCCAGAAATGCATCACGAGCAGGTCCAAGGAGGTGATCCTCCCCCTCTATGCGACATTGGTCAGGCTGCAGTTGGAGTACTGTGTCCAGTTCTGGGTGCCACACTTCAGGAGGGATGTGGACAGTATTGAGAGGATCCAGAGGAGGACCACTTGCATGGTCAGGGGGCAGCAGGGCAGGCCCTACGAGGAGAGGCTATGGGACCAGAACCTGTTCAGCCTCCACAAGAGAAGGCTGAGAAGAGATCTGTCGCCATCTATAAACTTACCAGGGGGGACCAGCATGGAATGAGAGAGGCCCTGTTCCCCCCAGCACTACCCTGAGTAACTAGGAATAACGGCCACAAGTTGTTTGAGAGTAGGTTCAGGCTAGATATCAGGCAGCACTACTTCACAGTCAGGGAGGCTAGGATCTGGAACCAATTTCCAAGGGAAGTGGTGCTTGCTGCTACCTTAGGGGTCTCCAAAAGGAGGCTAGATAATCACCTAGCTGGGGTCATTGGATCCCAGATTTCTTTCCTACCCATGGCAGGAGGTCGGACTTGATGATCTGCGCAGGTCCCTTCCAACCTTATCAACTATGAAAGTATGAGGCACCCTTTGATAGTCTTGAGACTCTCCTCAGGAAACACCAGCTCTTAATTTTCACTTGCTTTTTCAGTATAGAGAAATAGCAGAACAATTCGTTTTTTGGGAGGAACTTAGGAGAACTGCAACAGTTATTATCTTTTGGCTGCTCTGTGTTCCTGTTTGAAATAGTTGGGGTTACTGTGTGAATCACGTTTGAGTAATTAGCAGTGCTTAACTCTGTGTGGTACCCAGGGGCACCATGGAAAAGATCTCTGCAGTGGGTGAGAATCGCGGAGTTACAGAAGGTTGTGTTCAGTTGGGACCCTGGCATGTATCATTTTACATCGCGATGGGGAATGGAAGACCCAGAGCATCTCAGCTAATTTCAGCTCGGTCAGGACAGCAAATTAATTCTGTGGAAAAATGTGGCCCCTCCTAGCTGTGCCTTTCCGGTGGGAACCTTGTTCAACATCTTGTAGGGGCAGGAGGGCAAACTAACTGCTGTGGGTCTAGGGCGCAGTAGCGCACAGCGCCCTACTGCACCCTGCTGCAGAGAGACATTTTCTATGGTTAGGGTCTAGAGTTGCAGAGAACTTCCCCTCCCAGAACCTGTTGTTCACATCAGCAGATTTATAAGCTCTCAGAAGAGGCTGGGGCAGCTGTTTTGGGTACTCATGGTACCAGAAGAGATAGGGTTGCTTGAGAAGGTAGTAACATTGCACGGGACATTAACCACGTGTCTTTCTGAGACAGCCACCTCTGGACGAGACTGGAACACGGAATCTCTCTGGAGTCGACGTGTAAGAGCAAGTGAAGAATATAAAATGTTCTTCTTCCTTTTCTCAGTTCACATGAAACTCCATGGGGAGGCTGCCTCTGGGTGTCGCCTTGCGCAATGGAAGGAGCTTCTTACCCACTCTCCATGTGCCTGGCAGGCATGGGGGACACTGCCCCCAAATCTGTGCGCGGGGCAGAGGCAGGCTGCTGTTGCAGGCTGGGACTCTGAACCCTGGCTACCACTGCCCTGGCAGCTGCGCAAAGCCGGTGCCAAGCCGCCCTGGGGCCTGGGAGGGTCAGCCGGGGTCGACCTAGCGCCCAACCTCCAGCCCCGGAAGTCTGTATGAGGTTTCTGAAATGGGCCTTGCCCGGCCCTTCGATCTAGGAGGGCGGACACTTTCGGTGGTTGCTCCCGGTGGCTGGGCCGGGTGCCACATCTGCAATATTGCCAGGAAAGGTGCGTGGAGATTTTCGGGGACACACTTTTTAGGACCCTAGATGCCCATCTTCGGTTCCAGGAGGGCAGCTTGTGGAACCTCTGGGGCAGAACCGTGCTGCGTGGATGAGTCAAACCCGAGTTTGGTGCCATGTCAACTGGAGCTCCGGCTGGGCCCGGACTGGAGGGACAGGCCAGGCGAGAGTACAAAGCGGCCCGGCTGGAATTCCAGGTTCAACCCGGTCCAGGGCTCTGTGGCCAGGCAGGCTGGGGGCAGCTCCAAGGATGCCGGCAGGGCTGCGGGGCCCCGCAGTCAGAGCCCAGCGACCCCAGCAAGGGGCGGAGGGCCCGGGCCTGGGCCCTGGAGGCAGGAGCCCAGGCAGGCCTCTGCGGGCCAGGCCAGGCGAGAGTTCCAGGAGCCTGGCCACCAATCCGGCTTCACCCCAGTGATTTGCTCTTAGGTCGGCCAGGCCAGGGTGCTTGCACGGGAGTGGTGGGGCTCTCCTGCTGGGGAACCGGGAGGACCTGGTGTCCGCCGTGGGACTTAGAAAATTTCCGCTCCGTTGGTTTGGGAGCAGTTAATGTGGTGCGGGGCAGGGGCCTTTGCCCGCACGTGGCATCGCTTGGCTGCCGAGGCAGAGGCAGCGGAGCACAGACGCAGCAGGCCTCCGCCCCATGCCTGCCCACGGGGTCTGCACAGCGGCCCGAGCCTCTACACCCCTGGACGAGCTGCCCTGGATCTGACTCTCCCACAACCTACCCCAGGACACCATTCACACCAGCCCCTGCCCTCGTCCCTCCCTCACTGCAGCGGCCTCAAGCTTTCCCCGCAACAGCCCTTCCCTCCTACACTCTTACCTGCTGGGTAGTGTCTCTGTGTGTAGAAATAATTTTATGTTTAAGATTTACTCAGTCCCCCCCCGCAAAAAAAATAAAAGGATTTTCTCCCTCTGCCTGTGCTCCTCGGCAAGCATGGGGGAAAGTGTGCTCCCCGGATGTGTGCCCTGGCCAAGGGCAGGTTGCCGCTGGCACCAAGCTTTGTTACTATGGCACTGCTCGGAGATAAGGGAAGTGTTGCCTGGTCTGAGGGACCAGGTTTGGCTTGTTTGTTTTGTGTGATGCGGATATTGTAAGGTGGGGGGTGGGGAGGAGGGCAGCGGGCCTTTGTAGGGTGGAGTTTTTGTAACCGGTGAAGGTTTTGGGTTATAGACATATATTTTTACAGAAAAAAAGAAAACCCAACAACCCCAAAACAACAGCAACAACAAAAACCATATCCTTACAATCCAGGTATTGAAGTGCTTCCTGCCTTTCCCCATGAGCGAGAAGCAATGGTCAGAAGGGCTCTAAGTATAAACTCCTCTTCCTTCTCACTCCGGTTCTGATACCTGCTTTCTGTGGCGTCTGTATTGCTCGTGGGAGGGAAGGAGGGAGGAGGAGTGGCTGGGGGCGGGGGAGCAAAGACGGAAAGGATCGGAGACTGTTTTAAAATAACCATATTTATAGGTTGCAGCCGGGGACAGATGTGGACTGATAGCCAGATACTGGTAAGAACGCCCCCTGGCGGGCATGGGGGCGGTACCCTAAGGAGCGGAGAGCCTCTCTCTTCCAACCAACCAACCCTTGTCGGACTGTCCCATAGTAAATGGTGGGAGGAATTTAATCCGATGTGAATCAGTGTCGCTCTTCCCATATGAAAGGACCTGCGCCAATTCAGACCCACATACCTAACACGGAGCAGGCAAGAGGATATGACCGTGTGCATTGGAGATGCTGCAGCGCGGTGTCCAGCTGGCTTCACTTTCCGCTGCCACTTGTCCTAGTTAATGACTTCCCATCATCCCGGCAAGTTTTGATGATGTTTTTTTTTTCCCCGGAGGTGATTCCACAGCTCGGGCAGGTGGGTGCTGTGGGGTTAGAAGAGTAGTCGCAACTCTTGACTACTAACTTCCTCTTATCCCCTTCACTCCTTTTAATCTCGCTTCCCTCTCTGTGGCTTCTTCGTGATGTACTTAATGTCCATGCCAAAGTTGTAACTCTCCTTGCAGCTGTTCTGGGAAGGAGCTACCTGCAATTATTGTCAGAGTTTCCCGTGTAACAGCACTTTTTTCTGCTTTCAATTCAAGTTTTATTTTTTTCCCTCCTTTAAAGACTGTTTTTCCCTCCAAAAAACATCAACCCCGAGACTGCCCTTCACACTCTGTTAGGATGCACCGCCTTGCCGCCTAGCTTTTATTCGCGGTTTCCTTCCCGAGTCTCATCTCATTTCCCCGAGAAAACACCCGACTCCTTCTCCTCCCCCCTCGCCCCAGAGGACGCTCCGCCCTGCCACGCCGCGTTTTCGTGCGGGGCAGCCCCTGCTTGTCTCACCGTGTCTCCCACAGCGCAGTAGTACACGGCCGCGTCCCCCCGCCCAGGTGCGAGGAGCGCCAGAGCGCTGGATTTTCTGTCCTTCGAGATGTGCAGAGCCCCCTCCGGAGAGGAGACTTGGACAGTGTCCTTGCTTCCGAAAACAATGAATTGGGGTCCGCGGTTGGGGAATAGCCGGTACCAGTAGATATAATCCCCGAGGTTGATTGAGGAGTGTTCACAGGTGAGGTTGAGCGGAGTTCCCTGCAGCGCCTCTGCCGAGCCGGGCTGCAGGATCTGAGCTGTTCCCAGGGAGCCTGGAAAAGGAAACGAGAGGGGAGCTGGATTGACTGGGCCGGAGACCCCGAAATGTTCTGAAGTGCTCCCCTCCCCGTGTACAAACTCAGGCTTGTTCAAAGGATAATCGTGATGAAAGGAGCCAGACAAAGACAATAAGAAAACAGGGAGAGTGGAGGAGCTGAGGGAGGTCAGGCAGACAGACAGATACGTGCCCAGAGGAAGAGGCAGTTGAAGGGAGCGGGTGTGCTCGGGAGTCCCTGGGGGCCGAGGATGGGCTTTGGCTTTTTTCGGGAGAGTCAAAGAGACTGAACAACGCGCGCATCGACTCACCCAGAACCAGCATCAGCGCAAGGGCGGAGGTCGGGACTGCGCCCATCCTGCCGCGGAAGTTTTCTGGGTCTCTGCCCTCAGCAGCCTTTTTATTCTTGTTCCCAGAGCGGGAGTCTCCGGCCCTTTCTTGCGGCCAGAGACAGAGCAAGGAGCGTCACGCTGAGCTGTAAAGAGCACACCCAGTGCACGGGTCCTTGGGGCTGGTCTATGGCGCCGGGGAAGCGCGGGGCGGCTCCACAGAGGACTCCCCGTCCTGTCCTTTGCCTCTCTTCAAGCAGAGTCCGCGGGTCCCTCTGCAGGGGAAGCCGATGCCCGCCTCGCAGCCCTGGGTCAGGCCGACGCGGTGTGCCGGCTTGTGCTGCAGCGACCCCTGGCGGGCATTGCCTTGACTACAGGAGACCCCCGGCGGCAGGAGCCTGCTCTGCTGGCAGCTCCCCGCGGGGCGCGGAACTGCGGATATCGCGGGAGAGGGGCCAAAGGCGAGAAGGACCGAGCTGTTTCGGGATATCCTAACCATGTGGCCTCCGCTCCCCTATGGAATTCACTCCCCTATGCCACCAGTCCTGGCTCTGCCTGAAGGGGATTCCCATTGGATACTAAGCACTTACCCAGGAGCACTCAGCTGTCACAGTCCACAAAAGATGAAACCATAGCTCCTTTAAGAAATGGATTTTTCAAGCCCTGTGGTCCCAAGTATCACTAAAGCAGCAGTGGTGAATTTCTCTGCCTTGGTACATACCAGACCTTTATTTCCTACCCATTGGCAGTTTGAGACAAAACCCCTTGCAGAATTAAACCCTGATGGCACCCTCCCTACTCAAAGAGTATCTCCCCCTCATACCCCTGCCAACCAAGGCCCCCCAAGATATTGCTCTTACTGCCATGTCAGCGGGGAAGACCCCCTCAGGCAGGACCAAAACCCATTCCCTGAAGCACAGTTGCCCATAGATCTCCATTAGGGCAGTGCCTATAGGAACAGGATGCAGTGGTAGAGCATGCTGTACTGGGACACAGTGTTCAGGACAGATCCCAAGAAGAGAGCCTCACAGAGTCACCAGCCAGCTCGTCGGGTTTGTATTGCCCAATCCAGGCTTGCCTGACTACTTAACCCGGGACATGGAGATGCACTAATATCATGGCACTACGCGATTGCCCTGCAGGACCCCGGGACGCTCACCCCCTAAGAGCCACTTCCCACAGCTTTCAGGGCAGCACAGATAAGGCCTTGACTCCAAAGAGCACATCAGCTCTGCAGAGGTTTTGCTGACAGGCTCCCACTGAGGCCCCCCTCGGTTGGCTGAAGTACAACTGTGACCGATGGGGATCCGAGCAGTGACTCCCATGGAGAGGGGGTGGTCCGCCGGGGAGTGACTGTTGATGGACCCTCGTCCCGCTTCTTGCCTGCATCAGTACCGGAGCTCCCGGCGGTCCCCGCGGCCTCTAGGAAAGCTTCGAGGTGCGGGGTCTGCCTGTTTCTTCTGCGGCCCCTTCGCTTTCAGTGCCGCGGAGAGGAGGGGAGCAGGGACACACGTCCCAACTTAAAATCTGGGAGTATAGGGCTGAGTCTGTGATTCACCTTCAGGACATTTAGTGCGAAGCTCGGGGTATCTCCATAGCCCTTTCCTTATTGATAGAAGAGTCATCGATAAGGAAAGGGGATAAGGATTGGGGATGGAAGAGTCGAAAGAGGTAGGAGAGTGTTTGGTTGGATTCTGAAAGGCAGGAAGGTGTCTAACTTACTATCTGCAAGGGCAGGAGCCTACATCCCTTTATAGGTCTGTCGCGGTGGCCTTTAGTCCCCTGTGAAAGAGTTAGTCTCTAACCTATTTCAACTTAGAAATGTCCAGAGCTCAGGATTCCTATTTGGGAGAGGAAAAGGCACCCGTAGTAACTTCGGGAGAGGGTCTGTGAGTGCTGGTGACCGTGTGGCCTGCCGAGTTTGGTCTTTTTGGTCCGGTCTTTTGCGGTCACTGTTTGATGTATCATCAGGAAATGTCACTACAGCTCCCCCTCCCCCCACCCCAGCCCCCCGGCCGACCTTCTCTCGCCAATCCAGGTATTGACACGAGAAGCAGTGGTCAGAGGGGCTTAAATAAAACCCCTCTTCCTTCTCACTCGGGCTCTGCTACCTGCTCTGGCTGGCGTCTGCACTGCGCGTGGGGAGTTGGGGGGGGG